AAACAAGAGAAAAGATTGTTTCTCATGCTAGGAGTTGGGGGAACATGCATGGGTAAATAAATACTAATTCACTGCTATCTTCCCTCTGGGTTTCCCACGGGCATCTGGCTGGTCATTGTGAACCAAATTCTAGACTAGGTGGGCATGTGGTTTGATTCTCAACAGAGTAATTCTCATGTTCCTATTTGAGGCAACTGCTGGGGAGGAATGGTGTTGTCTTATCCACATTTTCCACATTCTGTGCCAAAACAATTCAATGAACTCTCAAGATTTCCATGACTGCTACCCAGAAACAGTTTGGCCAAACAGAGGAAAAATGGTAGTGCCAAGAAGTAGCTAAAATCCCCAGAGTTTATGACTTAATGAGGATCAACTTTTTAATGCCCAGTTTCATAGTGATTCATTAGAATGGAAAAAGAGGGGGACGAAAATGTGGTGTTCCACAAAAGAAAGACAGTTTATGGTTTTGAGAGAGAGAGAGAGAGAGAGAGAAGGTGGAGGAGTGATTAAAGTTGTTGCTCATTTTCTGTTCACCAATAGAAATAAAAACCTTTAGATTTCAATGCATTTTATGTTTCAGTGCTCTGGGGCAAAGTTCCACTTCCTCCACTCAGATATAGCTATGCAGAAAAGAAATTTGGATCGATGTAAGCTCTGAAGTGGGCTCTGAAGAGTGCCAAAAGATTTCCTCAAAACTGCATGAAAAGGCAGTACAATTCAGTGTAAAGAAAAGTAAGTAATGCATATTAGGGCCGAACTACTGTATATATTCACATATATACTGATGGCATCTGAATGGCCAATGACTGAACAAAAAGCAGATTTTGTAGTTGCAGTAGAAGATGTTGCTCCAGAGGTTCACAAGCTGTGAAAAATGCAAACCTATGGTAGAATGTTAAGAAAAGGTCAGAAATACCAGTATCAGAATGCCTATGCATAAATAAATGAGTTACCACCACTAGCTCAGCAGTTTATGTATTTGGCTACAGATAGTTCAACGGGAGTTCAATTCCCCACTTGACAGGGGTTGGAGTTGATTATCTATAGGGTCCCTGCCAGCTTTGCAGTAATTGTTAGACAATTATACTTAACTTCTTTTTTCTTTAAACATCTCAGAATCAACAGATGGTTAGGGAAATAACCAGAGGCTAGGGGAATATCTTTGTCTGCAACACCTTCCTACTAGATTATAGGCTGCTGCCAACTTGGTATAGCTGTTTTAGAAACTAGTACATTTAGCAAATTAGTGGGAACACAGTATGGATAAATTAGGAACAAAAAAAGACAGTGGGCAACTTGTAATCCTCTATATAGCTATTCTTGGTTGCAATTCTCAGCATGTCCATTGGTTATCTTGGCTCAAGTTGATGGGAGTTTCAGCCTAGCCTCATCTGGAGGGCCACATCTGGAAAAGTGCAAGTGAGACAGGTGGAAGTGAAGGAAATGATTCTGAGGAAGGTGTCTCCCATCTTTCTCTTTCTCAGTTTTTCTACTTGTGGATAGAATATACTAACTTCTGTGTAAACATAGTCAAAAGCAGACTGTAGATTGAAGAAAAACCCCTATTACATAAAAGTAAAGGCAAATAATTGTCTGAGGCTCTAGCATTCCTGCACAAACTTATTTGGGAATCCTATTGAACTTAGGGGTAGACTAATACAAAGCAGACATATGTGTGATAATGTTGTTGGTCTGTGATCCTAGATTATTGACCAAGGAGTCAGTGCCACTACAAATGAAGTGTCTCACTTCTGAGTAGACACATACAAGATTATGTATGTGTAAAGTAAGTAAAAGATGTGTGTTTTTTTAAAAAAATCAGCTATTAAACTGTGACTGAGATATTAAACTGCAGTGAATGAACTGTATAACATCCTTCTGAAATCTGACATTTCAGGCAAGTGGGAGGATTTTTCCCATGACTTGCTAACCTTCTAAAAAAGGAAGTGGCAATGCTCAAGAGGGAAACTCAGAAAGTTAAAAAAATCCCACATCTTTGGTCTTTGCAAACTAACTCTCTGTTAAAGACCGAAAATTGTAATTTTTAAAATCCTGAGTCAATAGGACTTATTTCATTCCTGACTTAGAACCATGTCTTACATATTGTTACCTGCTTGAAGTAAGTCTTCAGTGGGCTTTCTTTCTGAAGAAACATGGCTAGGATTTGGGATGCACTGGGATTTCTAAAAAAGAAATCTCCCATGAACTTTCACAGCTGGCGACAGTGTAAAATGTTGGCAAAGTCTTCTGCATTCCCAATTGGCGGGCAGGGGGGGAGTAATCTGAGGTATGTCAATGTGAAATGTGTTCCTTAATTCTCATTGTCTCTATTTGGTTTTCTAAAAATGTGCTCATGGGCAGACAGGAAAGGACATACAAGTTATTTCTCTTAGGACAGGAAAGCTATTAACAGCTATTTCAAAATAATCATGTTAAGAAACAACTCTATAAAGCAGTAGAGTTCTCAAAGCATGTGCCAGTGCATAGCAATGTGCTGTAACATAAATGCCATGAATTTTTAAAACAAAATTGCCTAAGGTTCTTGTGAGCCAAGGCATCAACTCCACATGTTCTGTGGAGATGACACATGGTCAATAGTTGTGCTTGGAAGAAATATTGTTTTGGGCTACAATTTCAGTGTCTCACAAATAGCACAGCTAGTGAAATGCTGGCTGTGGGACTTCAGGAACTGTATGAGGCATTCTGTGGGGGATTCTGAGTCCTGTGATTTTTCTAAGCACTGGACCATCTGTCCCAGTGGTTTCCAACATTGGGAAACCTAGGGGTTCTTGAGCTGCAACTCCCAGAAGCCCCAGCCAGCACAGCTGGTAGTGAAGGCTTCTGGGAACTACAGTCCAAGAATGCCTGGATTACCCAAGGTTGGGAACCACTGAGCGATCTATCCCATTGGCAATATGCAATCTGGAAATGCAATAAGTTGCCAAATTGTTTCCCTTGAATTACTTCAGCTGTAATAATAAATGAATTGATGCGACAATGGCAGGCTGCTGAGAACACTGCTGATTTTTTTCCCCATTTCCTTTCCTCAATCTGGAGATAAGCGTTTTGCAAATCTTTCTCCCATGCAGTCATGCATTTGCTAGCAGCCTGTCACACAGTGTTTTTCAAAGTTTCGATCAACAAGGAACTTTCAGAATTGACTTCACCAATATGTGACCTTGGCAGGGTGCTAAAGCTTCTGGTAATCTTGTCAAGTCTGTTTGTCCCATTCTGTGGGAACTATATATGCACACAATGTAAGCATACATATGTGGGTTGGTGGTATGCTGTCTCCCTGCATGGTGGTTCTTAGAAAGGGTAGAAAGAGAAGTGGCAGTGTGGAATTCAGCTAAACAAATATGAGGGAGAAGAAGAGGACAGAACAAGGAACTCCCCTGAAGTCATGTTGGCTCTACATTAATTGGTTATCCACTCTCACCAGTCCTGATGGGCACATAGTTGCCACACTATGTAGCGTGGAAACATTCTCAGTTGTGTCCTGTGACAATGGATCACAGCTGAGTTTCAATATTAATGTCTATCCAAGAAGTTTATCTACCATTGGGCTAGCTTCCCACCCTTGTTAAGAAGAATTCATTTTGCCACTGAGAAAAGAAGCTAGATTCCAACATTTAGCTTAGAACTTGAATTACATTTTATTAATTGGAGGCATAATAAACAAGCTGAGAAAGCAATATGAGATCCGAAGCAAGTGACTGTGACCTAGCTCATCCATTTTCCCCCAATGCTCAGTGGATGCCTAAGTTTCCTATCCTGGTATAGCTACCACTGAGTAAAGGATGCTGATGCTGATGATTCAAAAACACCAAGCACAGACAATCAAAATTATAAAAACATTGACTGGTATTATATAACAGATACGAGTCTTAACCAAAAACCTAAGTATCTGTTAAATATTAGTGCAGTATGTATGCTGTTCCTAATATTGCTGGTTTTTGTAGCTCTGATTGTGTGATTTCTGAGATCTGCAACTGCTTATAGTACTGTGTGAAGTTTCTTGATATTGTTCCCAAAGCCCCAATGACTATGGGGACCACTGAAGTGTGTTTCTTCCCGAGACGAAATGTTTCAATTGCCAGGTCTCTGTACTTTGTCAGTTTTTCCAATTCTTCATCATATTGGTTTAGAGTGCTTTTTCTTGTGCAGTAAAAATCAAGCCTTCGATTTCTTTCTTAATCATCCCCTGTTTTAGCCATGCCCATGTTGAATTATGATCATGCTTTCCATCAATATTTCTCAGGTGTTGTCCATGTCATGTTTTTTTTCCAGCTGTTTAATTTATTTTCAAAGCGTTGTTTCTGTTGTTTTCAAAATATTCTCCATTTTCACTGCCTTAAGTAATTTTTCTCTGTATGTACTGATATATTAGGCTTCTTTTTTCTCTGTCTACTACCTGCTGTATTTGCAGTAATCCACAGCCTCCAGTTTTTTTGTGGTAAATATAACCTGTTTACATCACATTTGGATGTAATGTGTGATGCATGTTCATAAGTTTCTTGTTTTTTGATCCAATTCTTCTAACTTGTTGTGAGGCCAATCTATTATTCCAGCTGGGTTTCTAATTCTTGGAACTGCCCATGTGTTTATGGCTTTGATTGTATTTCCACCATTTAATTTTGATTTTAAGATTTTCAGCAGCCAGCCCTGCCTCAACTGCAGAAAATATCTGACTCTGACTGTCACAAAAGGAACTTTTCTCACCACCTGTATCTTGCCAAACACCAGGCTTTGTTTTCTGATTGATCTGATCTTTCTAAGCATGGCTATGTTTTAAAATCTTATTTCTCAGAAAGGAAGCTTTGCCTGAAACACACATTTGGAACACGAACATAAATTTAAGCTTAATGCACTATTATCTGTAACATCTCAAATTAGAAGAAAAGTACACAACTGTAGCTAGCTAGAAATATACAAGAAAAAGAAATATTTCCCACCAAAATTTTAGTTCAAAAGCCCCCATCATGTTTTATGATTAAAAAAAAAAAAACCAAAGGGATCTATAAAATAATGCATGCTGATATTTTTTAAGATTATTTTACTTGGTTTATTTTAAATAAAAAGGCAGCAAATGTCTCCATACTTAGCACAAGAATTTCAAAACAAAACAAGCAGACGTAGCCACTTCTGCTCTCCAGACAAGACAAGAATTCCAAGGCCCCTCTGCAGAGAAAGCAGGAGAGCTCCAGCACCATGACTTCCCATATCTGAAGGTAAGTGAAGGAATATGTATTATCATCTAAGTGCATGGGGTCTAAGGGAATCAGGCATTAATTCCAGAGTTTGAAATAAATTAGTTACACCACTGAAACACAATATAAAGCCATGTAGCACAGTGTAGGATGAAACTAATGCCTGTGTAAAAGCAGAGATTGACTAATATAGCTTTCAGGTGCCATCTGTGAAACTGCATTGTACACCTCAAAAAAAGCTTGAAAGGGTTACTTTTTTTGGGGGGGCTACAGTTCTAGGAATTCTACCATCCACTGTCTGGAGTTGTAGTCCAAAAAAAAGGCATTTTTTTTCAAGCTGTGATCTAAAATTTACATGCTTCAGACATTCTGTTCCTAAAGAGAGTTGAGATAATGTCAGCGACAAATTCTTTCCATTCTAAGTTTTCTCTCTTGTCCTCCCACCTTTTTCCAGACTTGACTGATGGATTATTGTTTTGTCTTAAAACCAGTTGTAACGTCAGTCTGATGTTAGCGGTACTGAAGCCTTTACTTGTCTGGTTTTTGAAATCCAATGGTTGATTGAAGAATAACTTAGAACCCTAGAAGAGAAGAGAAATATTTTATGGAGCCATATTACAGGCACTGGGTAGTGGGTTGTGGTGTGTGGTGTTTTTTTTACCCCATCCACCTTTCTTTGTAAGCCTATTTAATCTTGTTTTTCAGAGTATGTTCCTATTGTTTCAGACAAATTTTCAGTTATAAAATTAGTCTTGTTCTGTCTTTCTACTGTCATTCATCATTTTCCATTCCACAACTCATTTTATTCAGTTATTTTAAATATGCTGTAATGAATCTTAGATGAACTTTTACAGCACCATTGCTATGATCCCTTCACATAGTCAAGTCCCAAGTTATGATAACATTGATTGTATATAAGCATGGGTTACCACTCTAGACATGTTCCTCTACCAACACATCTAACACCTATAATGCTCCCCGGTGTCTAGGGCAACAGTAGGCAATCTGACTATTTGCCATGGCAACTGGGCTTATGTTTGTGGTAATCAAAGCACCTGGACAGCACTGGGCTTCTTCCCTGTACAGTACTTAGGTCCTACAGGCCAATCCAGGAGAGGCAGAATTGGCAGGATCTTATCTCTGTCCACTACCCACCTTTAAATAGATTACCAGTGTGCTATGTAGAAAAATGACATGACCTTTTCATAACAGGTTATACAGAATCAAGAAGGCAATAGCATATAACATACAAAAAATCAAAACACAGTGCAGCGTAACATTGCAAAATTTGGGATCCCATAGTGAGTGAAGCATGGATGTCCTTGTGGCACCGTGGATAAACTGCTTTACTGCAGCCAAAACTCTACTCATGACCTGGGTTCAATCTCAGGTAGCTGGCTTGAGATTCACTCCATCCTCCCAAGGTTGGTAAATTGAGTACCCAGCTTGCTGGGGGGCAGTGTGTAGTCTGCATAATTAAATTGTAAACCATCCAGGGAGTGATTTAAGCTGTCACATTGATGGCCATGGCAGGGTTAAAGGTGACAGACACCTGCTCTGTGGGCTGACTGGAGACACATTCTAATCAGCCAGAATGCTACACTATGCAAATAGTTCCTTCAGAATTCTCAGAAGTTATGTTTCTGCATGGGCATAAAAAAGTGGTTTTTTAAAAAAAAATCACAACTCAAAAACCCTTTGTCCAAATATTCCCAAATTTAGCACAGAGCAAAAGCAGACTATCTGCTATATTCGTGCCAAATCTGGTGCAGATCCACGGTCCAGTTTCATAGTTATATTTTTTGTGTTTAGGGCATTCCTTTTTTTATTTTGCCTTATGACATGTTGAATATTGCTGACGCACAATATATTGGTGCTCTGCTGGGCACCAATAATACTTACCAACAACTCTGCAGATGACTGATCAGATGTGACCAACTTAGCTTAAACTGCCAGCCCCTATCACTGATATTAAACTTCCATTTCCAGTTCAATATAGAGTACTCTTCTTGGGAAAGCAGAAAGAGTAAAAACAATTCCTACTTGACCATGAAGGAGCCATATAAGCCCACAGTGGGTAAAAGGGGGCTTGGGATTGGTGGATATCCAGCTGAAAATGGTGTAGAGGGCATATATCCCACAACAAGGCAGCATGTGCCTCTATACTTATGCCATGTCTCTTCTGCCCGCCTGCTCGCAATCCTGGCAAGAGCAACCTGGTGCAAAACTGACTCTGTGGGGAAGGCACATGGACTAGATCTGCTTGTACCAGTGGGGTCTGGAAAGCTGTTCTCTTTGCATTCAGACCAGAAACCAATTGTAGACAGAGTTTGCGATGAGAAACATGAAATCCTTCAAGAGACCATCTGATTGTCTCCTGCCTTAAAGTTTATGCAAACTTTGTTTGGGTTTGGGCCTGTAGGACCTAAGCACAGAATTCCTTGGAATTCTGAGTTCACGAACCTTGGAGGGCTGCCTCAGTCACTTCACTTGAGTATAAGTATGTTTTTTGGTTATCAGCTCTCTCATTCTTTTTGGGCCTCAGCTTTTTATTTATAAAAACGGGGGTGAGGGAGGGACTGAGGGATGTGTGGCCATTTTTCACACCATCCCCTAGAGAGAGTTTCAACCATCACACTCTGATTATTTGCAGGAACAATCAGATCATCACAGAACTTTACCAATTAAGGAACATATGTGAATGATTAAATTTATGATCTGTTTCATGTCCTTCCTTAGACTGACAGGGAAAAAAAAACGTTGGAGGCTCATGAGCAAACCATTTCTTTACCAGCTAGCTGGAGAAGGGTCACATTGAGTCAGCACACAGGTCACCTGCTTCACAACAGATGCTTTGTAACTGTTCTTTAAGTTATAAGTATCTTTTCTGATACCT